CAGTGGGTTTCTGAGCATGTTGTACAAATGAGCAGGTGGTAGATGGAAAGGGAAGGAGGCCTCTGTGTGTGTGTGTGTGTGAAGTAGGATTAGGAGCTAAAGTTGCCTCTCTCCTAGCTGGCATACCTTATAGAACAGCCACCTTAAAGCTGATCTGGGGGGGAGGCAGGCTTATGAACTTAAAGGTGATGCTGGCACTGCTGCCACCATCCAGTTCTGGGACCAATAGAGGGCAGTCCTCCCCCATAGAGTCCTGAGAGGCAGCAAGGGGAGCCCTGAATGGCCCAGTGAACACGAACTCTTAGACCTTCAAATAAGACAAGCAGGGACAAAATTGATGGCTCCAGTTTCTAAGCTGCAAGCTCTGGGTAGATATTCTTGCTAAGCTTACTTGGAGCATTTAGGCCAGATGACCAGCCTTTTTTTTGGTCCACCCCCAGCCTAGGTAATTCTCTTTTCTGGAGCTAATGATGGGCTAGGGAAAGTTCGTGGGAGACAGGCAGCTTTGCCCTGAACGGGTCAAATACTGATTCTTCCCCATGTAGGCCAGAACCTGTCCAGTGGAGGCCGAGTTCCAAATAGCTCCAAGTAAGCTGTGGTAAGGGTTCAGTTAGAGCTGTGGAGAGTCAAGTCCAGGCCATGAGATGATTGCCTAGGGCCTATGCCATGCATAGGAGCCAGTGTAAGGGCAGGAGTTGAGGGAGAATTGCCAAGTCTTTGAGGCTTAAGGCCGGTGCCTTCTGGGTTTGCCTTCATTGACTACAAGGGACCATGACAACCACCTTCCTTCCCCCCCCCCCAGCATTGGCTAACCTTGCAAATATTCTAGCTCCCAGAATTTGCAGTATAGCTTGGATTTTCTTTCCTATGTTCCTACTTCTGGGATTTACACAACCAGTGAATAGTATATACACCAGTTCAAGCAGATATTTCCATACAGGGTGAAATTCTATTTAGATGAACCAATGACTTGCATGGCCGTTGAAAATAGTTTTGTTCAAGTGCAAAGGAGATGGAGATAGGGTCCAAAAATTCCCAGTTAGCTAGGGAATGCTTAAGATGCCTGGGAAGTTAACATATGTCTCTCTGAAACAAGAGGATTTCTGTGGCTCTTGGGAGCAAGCAGGTAGATATACAAATGTCTGGGATGGAGAAACTGTGGACATGTCCACCATTCATTGTGCCTTTCTTAAACTCTATTCTCTCCAGACATTCAAATTCCAGGGGAAAACATTTCTTCCCTCCCTCCCTCCTTCCGTGTATGTGTGTGTGTGTGTTTCTTTGTAAAGTAAGAGGTATGAACTTGCTATGTTGATCATCAGGGGCTGGAGTCTGGGAGAAACCCTAGGACTTTCTGCCATGGGGCTTAATCACAGGGTAGCTGTTCTGGGCTGGTGTCTCATTAAGTAAAATCCTTGTAAAGTGGGAGACTTTCTTCCATCCCCTTTCCCACTTCCATTTCTTTTTTCTTTTCTTTCTTTTCTACATCTCAGCTGCTGCTGGTTCTTGGGAGGTCACATTGTTTTGCTGTTTTTGAGTTGACTTGCTTAAATAAGAAACCCACCCTCTTGTACAGGATTAAGCAGACAATTAGGAAATCAATCAATCAATTGGTGTCAGCTGCAAGCAAGAGACCAGTGAAAGGCCCCCGTCTTTCTGAAGCCTCATTTCCAACCTTAAAACCTGCTGAGATCTGGGGCAGAGGCTGGTGGGACCAGGCGCCTGTGATTCATTTATTTCTCTTTCAGCCCCTACCCCCACCTGGAGGCTGGAATAAATCTGAGCATGGAGAAATTATAAGGAAGTGAGGAGTGTGGGATGGCTTAAAAGTTTTATATGTAGTAGAATAGGAAATGAGAGGCCAAGGTAGGATGGCCAGTAGTGGCTGGCTTCCTGCTGTGTTTTTGGTAACAAGTTCCCGGGCCTCCTTCTTAAGAAGCAGGAAGTGGTTCCCTGGCCCACCATATGGGGAACACAGGGATGGGGACATGGGTGTTCGTCACAGGACTATTCATTCACTATGGTTGGAGCAAAGAAGTACAGAAAATAAAAAGGAGCAGCAAGAACTTTTGAAAACCACAGCAGCCTTTGTACATGCTGAGATAATTTTCCCCTCCCCCTGCAATATTGGGGGGGGGCAGAGCCCAGAAAGTTGTCAGAAATGATCAGCCTAGTGACTGTCGTATAGGCCTGGAGCCTCTTTGGACATCCCTGATGCCATCAGCCAAGGGCTCTCACAGAACTGGACTTACGACAGTTCCCCTGGCAGGAATGGCTCCCAGGTCCCTTCACTATGGATCCATGGATATAACTTTCTCCTCAGACAAGCAATTGTGCCTTCAACTTTGGCTCCATGAAGGATCAAGGAAACCTCCTGTGATTTCTCCCGAGAAGGGAAAAGAATTGCATCTATCAAGGAAAAAGGAGTTGTTTTAGGAAAATATACTATCTTGACTTTTGACGAAGGTTTTCTTGACTTTTTTTTTAACCTACCCCATCTGCCCCAACCCTGACCCTCCGAGAGGATGTTGCTCTGAAGGTGTGGAGTCCTCGCTCCTTCAGTATATGCATTATTCCCTGTGGAGGTGAAGGTGGTCCACGGTGGTGGGGAAGGTCCTTGGGTGCCTGTCTCTGGGGATGTCAAATCTTTCCCCACAGTACAGTTGCCTGTGTCCCCACTTTTCCCCAAGAGAAGTCAGGGCATGTGCTCTTCAAGGCTTTGCCCATGCAAACAAGGCAGAGCTCCCTCCCAAGCTGACTCAGTTCTGCAGTACTGCCCAACAGACCTCAGTCTAAGCTGTCACACGCCCACTGGACCCTGGTGGGCTTGGGCACCACTTACTTCTGGGCAGAGAACCAGTTGAGACAGGAGAGTGGGACTGGATCAGGTTTCCAGTCGCCCCAGGAATTAGAATGGGGAACTTGGCCTGGACCCCAGGTGTGGGGTGCAAAGTGAAACCAAAGTTAGACGTTGTGGTATTGGGCAGGAGATACATAGATTCTAGGCTGGTGATCCAAGCTCAGGTGAGCTACTTCCTAAGTGGAGAGTAGTAGTCAAGTTGTGTCTGAGGAACAGCTGACCCATGTTTTGGGTGGTGTCTGTAGTCCATGGGAGAGGGATGTGAAGTGAGTTCACTTTCCCTACATTGACACACCTAAGGCAGACAGACCCAACTGTTGCCCAAGAAACAGGCGGTCCTGATACTAGCTTGGTTCCCTTTCGCTTTTTTAGGGAGGCCAGAAATTTAGGGGAGGTGAAGCTCCCGGGAAAACCAACCCAGCCCTAGCAGTAAAGAGAACAGGACACAGCCCTGGGGTACATGTTTATGTGAGTAATAAAATATTTACTATAACATAAATATAAAGGGAACTTCCCAGTCTACATTATTATTATTTGCAATAAAGATACAAAGAGAACGCACCAAAACATTGTTCCAAAAATAAAAAATAACAAAATTTAAATTCAAACCATAACAGAAGAAAGAAATGGAAAAAAAGGGGAAGCTCCAAAATACATCGAGAAAATAAATAAAGATGGGCCAGAAATCAGGAAATCATATTAAAATATCTTTTTCGGATTAGTCGGGTGTACAAAATCGTTTAGGATGGGGCGGGGGCGGGGGTGACAACCCAGGAAACCAAAAATAAAAACCAAGCACAAAATGTTTCTTTCCCACCCCCCCGCCAGTGTGTACATATCTCACATATTTACATGGTTCCCACCTCACCCCAAACTTGGGGAATTTCTCTCTGGGGCTCCCCCAGCACCCTGCAATTCCCCGGGGCTGGAAAGGGAGTAGAGGAAAGCTGGAGGGAATCAGGCAGAAGGTTTTTTTTTTTCTTTTTCTTTTTTTCTCCTTTCAGGGAACGGCTTATTTCTACCGCTGGTTAAAAAATATCTCCAAACTTTTCCAAGTTTCGTCCGTCCTGGCCAGGAGGGCAGGGCTCGGCGGGGAGCGGGGACCCCCCCCACCCCGCCCCGCGCGGTGACTGAAGTCTGCTGCGGGGGACCGGGAACGGGGGTGGGGGGGGAGACCCCCTCCTATCCGGTGTGTGTGGCCGCGGGCACCCCTCTGGCGAGGCCAGGATCCGAGCCGAAGCTCGGATAAAACGAAACGAAAAATGAACACTCGAATTTTCTGTCAGTTTTTTTTGTTTTTGTTTTGCTTTTTTTGGGGGTGTGTGTGTTGGGGGGGAGAGGGTTGGGAAAGATAAAGAGGGGAAAATAAATTAGGCTAGATTAAAGCTTTGGCTATCTCCTGCTTTTATACACAGACGCGGCTCTCGCGGCCTCCCCTCCGGGGCCCCGATAAATACAGTATACAGCGATTTAAATTAAGGGCGCGGGCGGAGTTAGAAGGACCCCAGGAGCAGAGGGGCCCCAGGAATAAATAAAAACCGTAAAAAAAAGAACCCCAACAAAAAACAAAAACCCCAAGCCCGAGAAAGGGGAAAGGGAGGACGGGGCGCATCCTTCTGGGAGAGAAGAGGCCCGGAGCGGATAACGTGACAGCCCCCCACCCCTGCCCCGCAGGCAGAGGGGAGAGGGGATGCGGATCTCTCTCCTCGCTTCGTCCTCTCTCCCGGGGATATCCCTAAACCCCGCACCGCGTTACCTGTCGCTGTGGGAGGCCGCTGCCGGGATCCGGCCCCGAACAGCCCGGGGTGGGGTGGGGTAGGGGTTGGGGTCGTCGAGGGGATGGGGGACAAGGCGCAGGCAGCATGCCCAGGGTGAGTTGGCGCGTCCCCGATCTTCGCTGCTTTCTCTCTCGGGGCTCGGGCGACACAGCCCCGATGGACTGTCTCCGCCACTCGCCGGAGAGGGTCGTCCCGGCGTTTGGTTTTTGTTTGAAAGTTTCTGGGCTTTTTTTTTTGTAAAATCCAAAGCAACCGAACAAAAAGAGTCCAGGCCGCGCGGGAGGTCTGCGCGCCCGCGTCTCGCCGCGCCTCGCCGCCGGCTGCGAGGGGTGTTGGGGGCGGGGGGAGCCCAGCCGGCAGGGTCACTGCACCGAGCCCGGCAGTGTGTGGTGGTGGTGGTGGTGCAGCGCGGCTGGAGGCGGGGGCGGGGGCGCCGAGGGCGGCGACGCGCCGCCCCCGCCCGGCCCCAGCTCCCCGGGCGCGTAAACGTCGTCCATGGGCGGATGGCCCGCGCCGGCCGCGGGGGTCATGCGCTTCTCTTTCTGCCGCCGGTTGCAGAACCACACGCGCACCACCTCCTTCTCCAGCTGCAGGCTGTCAGCCAGGCCCGTGATCTCGTGCGCCGAGGGCTTGGGGCACTTGAGGAAATGGCTCTCCAGCGCGCCTTTCACCCCGACCTCGATGGACGTGCGCTTCTTGCGCTTGCGGCCCTGCGCCGCGATCTTGTCCAGGTTGGTGGGGCTGCCGCTGGACGAGTCGGTCTCCTCCAGCCACTTGTTGAGCAGCGGCTTGAGCTTGCACATGTTCTTGAAGCTCAGCTGCAGGGCTTCGAAGCGGCAGATGGTGGTCTGCGAGAACACGTTCCCGTACAGCGTGCCCAGCGCCAGCCCCACGTCGGCCTGCGTGAAGCCCAGCTTGATGCGCCGCTGCTTGAACTGCTTGGCGAACTGCTCCAGGTC